TAACTTTTTACTGTTCAGCCCAATTACAAATGCATTATGTATGTATGTTTAACTCCTTTCACATCGTATGTAGCTAGCCGTGATAATCAGTTTACTGCAAATACTGATTCGAAGAATTACAAAAATACCTTTTCCAATGAAATGGCAAGTCTCTCCATCTCACTGCCTTTGTATTTTTTTATATCCCCATCTGTCTGTCTGTGTGTCTCTGTGTGTTTCTATCTCTCAATTTCTTCCGTCTCCCAGTCTCTTTTCCACTGTGTCTCTTTGTGTCTCTGTCAGGTGGTTACATTTTTGGTAAGGTGGGACTGGTGCCACAGATACCAATGGAAAAAAGAAGGGTTGGAGTGTATGATACATTAATTGCATTGTAGTATAGTACAGTCGTGTGCGTACAATTAATCAGCAGTACAGGAGTGTGCATTACTTCGTTATTACCATCTTTAACATCAATAATATCCCCACCACCACATTATTACTACTAACTGCCATCATCATAACTACTATCCTCACTGTGACCACTATAATTATCACACATTTTACACTTGATAAAAAAGTAACCAAATAAATGAGTGTGTGGTGTAAGGAATAAAAAAAAATCAACAAAGGGAGGTCACAATAGCTGCTCGTGCTTTGTTAAGACACATGCCCGGGTTATTTGCAAACCTTCTTGGTCAGGTGACGTGCCTCTGAAGTCGAAAACCAAGGATGGGCCCTGATTAGCAGCCTGAGTTTTCAGAGTTGGCCAGACCCACATTCTAGGCCACACCCAGGGGCCAGTTAAACTTAGAGGTCACGAGAATAGACTCCAGGAGGCAGAGCTGGCCGAGAATCGCCGAGACGGGGGGGACCTCTTGGGACAGACGGCAGAGTTTATGATGATGATGATGACGATGATGAAGGCCACATTCCCAGAGCCGCAGTTAAAAAAAGGTAACATGAGGCTTGAGCTGAAGATGAGGTTTTTCCAGTGATTAAAGAGGCTAAGAAGAGGAGCAGTGGATGATGTGGCGAGCCAGAGCGTGCTCATCATGCCAGCAGCTGGCGTTTTCCCCTCGCTTATTGCTCGCTATTTGTGTTGGCTTCGCAGCCCTCGGCTTATAATAAACTAGCTGTACTACCCGGCTTCGCCCGGGACTTGGATTCACCACACCCGGCCGCCTTTATCTCCCCAGTGGCGATGTTCACACAACACAGCAGTTACTCGTTTGAGGCTGAGTCGACCTAGGGGAGGCCCAGGAGCGGTTCAAATAATCGTCACCGTTGGTGGCCGTGAGCGGGAATCGAACTCGGGTCGCCGGGTTCGTAGCGCGGCGTAGCGCTAACCACTACACTACAATGCGTTACGCTTCCACTTGCGCGGGTCACGTGACAGATTTGACGTCACAGCTCACTTGCCGTGAATCTGATTGATTGCTTCTGTGGGCAGGTGTCTTTTATACAGGTATGAAGCTGAAATTAGGAGCACTCCCTTTAAGAGTGTGCTCCTAATCTCAGCTCGTTACCTGTATAAAAGACACCTGGGAGCCAGAAATCTTTCTTATTTCCCTCATTAAAATGCAAATCAATTTATAACATTTTTGACGTGCGTTTTTATGGATTTTTTTGTTGTTCATTTGTCTCTCAATGTTCAAATAAACCTACCATTAAAATTATAGACTGATCATTTCTTTGTCAGTGGGCAAACGTGCAAAATCAGCAAGGGGATCAAATACTTTTTTCCCTCACTGTATACACACAGTACAGTCAGGAGACAGCATCACATACCGTGTCAAGAGAACGGTAAAGGATACTCAATGATGATCTAATAAATAATATAAAGATGCCAATCAGAGTTAAGGAGATGATAAAAGGTGTGTAATGGTTGTCCAGTTAAGTTCACCAGCTCAGTTATCACTTCAGAGGACAAATGCAGGCAGTCCTCGACTTACGATGGAGATGTGTTACGACTACCCCATCGTAAGTCAAAAATATCGTAAGTCGAAGATGGCCTAGCCTACCCAGGAGTCTTAAAGAATGGTGATAATTTAGCAAAACTGGGCCAATTTACAGTACCGTAACTGTATAAACCATATACTGTATGTATTTATTAATTACAATACTGTATTGCACAGTAAAATGTAAAGTAAAAAAAGGTTAATTCTTAGCCTTACCTACAGTATATGAACTGCAATTTCATAGAAAGTTTTTTTTCAGGAAACAATCCTATCTGCTAAAAAAAAACCACAACGTACAGGATCGTACCTCGTACGCTGCTGCGTTTGCCTGCCGCGCGAAATTTAAAATATCTTACAATTTTGTCGCATCGCTATCGTAAGATCGAAATATCGTAAGTCGGACCATCGTACGTCGGGGACTCTCTGTACGTATCGATATATAATTGTATATAGAAATGTTGGCCACGTTATTGAGTTAATAATAATGTTGAGAAAACATTAGATTTGTTGACATTTCATTTAAATGGAAATGGCACTACTCGGTGGAGTTTTTTTTTTACACAGTTGCTGAGCACGTTAAGTGGCCAGCAATTAACGGCACTGTCAAAAGTTGTAATGGACGAGAGTTAAACACGTTTCTTGAATTTCGGCGAGGTTATTAGATCGGGGGAAAGAGAATGTTGGGAGGGAATCCCAAAGTCAAGCAGGGCGAGGGGAGAAGCAGACAGAGAAGTGTGGTGACCTCCAGTATGGTGGTTGTATATACAGTACAGGCTAAGACAAAAGTGTGAGTCTGATAGACCAGGTCCTGGAATACACACATGCACAGGAATGAATGAATGATGTTCACAGGAGCACCGACTATAGTAGTAGTGATATAAGAGCGATAAGGAGGGGGGGGGGGGCGACTGGCCGCTTGTGAGAAAGTGATTGGAGTAAATTAGAGAATGCTGCTGGTTCATCAATCACTCTGACTGCGTTTAATCCAATCAAGTGCAGTGAGGCAGGGACTGGGTGCTCCAGCGCAGAAATAACAACGGTATTCCAAATTTGGCCGAATTTTATCCTCGTTGGGCTTTTTGATTTAAAGCTTTCGTGACTGCAGGGATTCATATTCCTGGTTCTTTGGGTAAAGTCACGTAGAAGGGAAAACAATAAAATAATAAAACAATATAATTCTCACGACGTTTCGACTGCAACACAAACAATCATCATCAGGTGTGAAAACCACAGCAAGATTTTTTTTTATTCAAATTTTCTTGCTGTGGTTTTCACACCTGATGATGATTGCTTGTGTTGCAGTCGAAACGTCGTGAGAATTTTATTGTTTTATATTTTTATTATTTTATTGTTTTCCCTTCTACGTGGTGACTTTACCGAAAGAACCAAGAATATACCTCGTTGGGCTGTTGGGTAATGTGTTCTCATACATTTGGCCCTGCTTTATCATCAACGTGGCTTGTTGTTGCAGTATAGCATTTTGAGAGCGTGAGTGTTTCAATTTCAGTTTTCAGTGACATTTATTTGGTGTAGCCCTGTGAGCCATTCGGCTCTTGAATCGGGTGCAACCGCAACAAACAAAAAACAAAAAAATTAACAAGAAAACATCTTAAAGTGACTACGCGCAAACAGTAAAATCCAGGAAAAAACAGCAAAGTCTTCCAGAAAAAAGCATCGTGTCCACCAACGCTGTGTGCAAAAATCCCAGTGGGATGCAAGTCAAACAACAACAGCAACCACAAGACAACTTTGATTAAAGCCATCAGTCTAACTCCGAACTATAACAAACAAACATGGCCAAACCAAAAAACTTCTCGAAATCACCAAAATAAAGCCATAAAAGCAATGAGCTGGGCAACTCTGATAGCGAGGCAACTTTTCTCTCAAATCTTGCAGCTGTGTTTGATTTCAAGAGAGATAAGGTACCCAACTTCTCAATGATTCCCACCAACTGTTCCTCTATAATAGAAATGGTTACCATTCTTGTAGAAGTATGGAGTTTTCCCATTTCCTTCTTTTGGTTAATTAGATTGTAAATATGAGAATTAAAACACGTGATAATTGCAGGTGTTTGCAGTGCGGGGAGTGGCGTTCTCTAAACAAACACACCTGAGCAGTAGCCTGTAAGTCACATCCTCTAATATTGGGACACTTGTATGAACACATACAGTATATAATTGTCAAAACACTTTCCCAAAATGAACCATTACCTTGAGATTACGTGAAGTGATCAGTGTACAAATCAGCACTCGTCAAAAAACAAACTTCCTTCACCATGGCAGTTTGCAGCAACAGTGGAAGACGTTTTCTGAGGATGATCTCCATATATATAACAGGCAAAGGTGTGAATATGTGTGTCTGTTAAAAATGTTTAGCGTACTTCCCGACATGCAACAAACTTGAAATTTGCCATGTGGGTACTTTCCAGACTGTACACCATGCAAAAAGTATCAAAATACACTTTAAATTTTTTTTTAGGGGGGGGGGGGAGATCAATAATGTATATATTTTGTTGCACGGCAAGTGAGCTGTGACGTCACATTTGTCACGTGACCCACGCATGTGGAAGCGTAACGCATTGTAGTGTAGCGGTTAGCGCGCCGCACTACGAACCCGGCGACCCGAGTTCGATTCCGGCTCACGGCCACCACCACCACCACTGGTGACGATTATTTTAACCGGTCCTGGGCTGAGTCGACCTCCCCTAGGTCGACTCAGCCTCAAACGAGTAACTGCTGTGGTGTGTGAACATCGCCACTGGGGAGATAAAGGCGGCCGGGCGTGGTGGATCCAAGTCCCGGGCGAAGCCGGGTAGTACAGCTAGTATTGGATAAAATAGAGTTATAGACGTAATTGGGGGAAATATTCATCATCTCAGATTTTCTGATGAGAGTCATAATAAGGTGCACAGGTTGGCCTTCCAGACTTAGGTGAACCAGTTTTCCCTCCCTCCCTCCTTCGTATATCTCGTAAATACGCAAAGGGATTATCCTGCCGTGTGCATGAATGTGCTGTTCTCTCCAGTTTGTGTGCTTATACTACATGTTCACTCTTTGCTTTCAGGGTGCAGGATGCACCGCTCTGGTGGTGGCTGTGGTGGCCCGCAAGCTGGAGCTGACCAAGGCTGAGAAACATGTTCACAATTTCATGATGGACACGCAACTTACAAAGAGGGTACATTTTTTGTTATCGCAAGAGTCGTGAAATAAATTACCTTTTTGATGTATACCGCATATATAAATATTGATGTTGACCATATTGGTTTTGCCCATGGTGAACTTTTCCCACTCTCTGTTAAAGTGCAAGTCGCATCAGACCAGTCCGTGATCTCTTCCTCTGCTGAATTCCTGTTCTTGTGTTGAACTTGATGTTGAATCATGGCCAATGTGAAACATTGAGCACATTAGATAGCTGATTTCAGACAAACTCTTAAACAGAAGACTGTGCAGCTGATGTGGGTTGTGATGTTTTTTTTTTACGTGGAGACGGATATGGGAAGAAGACATTGACTGCTTATTAGTGTTTTTTTTTATTTAAATTAACCACTACGATAGTCATGATTAGTTTCAGCTATTTAGGCAGTCTAATGAATTTCACAAGCCATTGTGCCTAGCCTAACATCAGTGATAATTGAAGCAATTGGCGGGACCCCGGGGTCCCATCACTGCCCCGGGGTGGGAAAAGCCGCGTAGCGACACGAGTCTCGTTGCCTTACCGACAACAACAAAACTAGTGGTCAATCGATTGGCCTCGTCGAGAGCTACTCGGGGCACTAAGTTTCGTAAAAAAGTTGAAAAATTACACAAACACGTTAAATTCACTGCCTGGGGGTGGCGGTGGGGCTCGCCTTGGCAAAGAAGCTGAGGATCGACGGCTGACCGGAGGGCGTTGTCGCCGCGCGCGACCGCGTCGGACGCCCCCCGGGGCTTGCGTTTGGCCGGTGGGGGTGGCGCCCATCGTGTCGATCGCCGCCTGCTGCTGCTGGCGCTTGTTGGCGCGAGTCTGGGCGGGCGGCGCGTTGCTGTCGGGATCACGAGTGGGGGGACTGAAAAATAATAATTATTATTATTGACCTGATTTTTGCGGGACCCCGGGGTCCCGCCAAATGATTCAAATTCTGCAAACTGGTCCCTGGGTCTCACCTAGGTTGACTCGGCCTTAAATTATTTACCTGGTGCAGTGTGTAAACATCAGCACTGGGGGGAGATAGAGGCAGCCAGGTGCGGTGCTGGCCACCCACCCCCTCGGTTTGATGCATGAGGACGTTAAAGAAGGGAAAATGGGAAGGGAAAAGGACATGAGGAAGGCTAAGGATCAGGATGTTGGAGGAGCCAAAGGCAGAGGGGGCCTTTGTGGAAATGAAGAAGAGGGCAGAGAACAGAGGAGGATGTAAATGGCAGCACTGAAGAAAAATCAACATTTTCCACAATATAACTAATAGTATAATCTTGGTGCTTTCGGTAAAGTCACGTAGTAGATAGAAAACAAAAAAAATGAAAATTAAAAGCAAAAAAACTCACGACGTTTCGATCGCAACGCAAGCGGGGTCTTCATCCTTTTTTCCCCTCCACCTGATGAAGGCCGCTTGTGTTGCCATCGAAACGTCGTGGGTGTTTTTTTTGCTTTTAATTTTGACTTTTTGGTTTGTTTTCTATCTACTACGTGACTTTACCGAAAGAACCAAGAACATGAATTCCTGCAGTCACGAAAGTTTTCAGTCTAAATTTAATTAATAGCATGTATGTGATTGATGGTAGAGAAACCTTTCCCAAACCCTTCTTGCTGATGTGATTAATTGGCCTCCAAATTTTGAGGTATTCTGTTACCATTGATATCTGTGAATGGAGTGTATATGTGCACCGAGGCTAATGGGTCTATAGTTTGTCAGTTTTATCCCCATATTCTTGGTTCTTTCGGTAAAGTCACGTAGAAGGGAAACAATAAAATAATACAAATATAAAACAAAAATTCTCACGACGTTTTGACTGCAACACAAGTAATAATCATCAGGTGTGTCTACATTTAATTGATTGCTTGTGTTGCAGTCGAAACGTCGTGAGAATTTTATTGTTTTATATTTTTATTATTTTATTGTTTCCCTTCTACGTGGTGACTTTACCGAAAGAACCAAGAATATGAATCCCTGCAGTCATGAAAACTTTAAATCAAAAGTTTTATCCCCCATCACACGTTCTTCTCTTCAATCATGCTGTTCAAAATAGATGATAAAGCTGACTTGTATGGCTGGATATAGAGAGCTAAATGGGCATGGTGCATACCAGCGAAGGGATTGGCTGAAGCGGTATAGAAGGGCTCGGAACTGTCTACCCATCCTGGCCCCAATACATTTCTGGCTTGGTCATTGCCTTCATCTCATCAGGTGCAGTTCTTTTAGCTTTCAAGAATGCTGCTGTTACTCCTAACTTGAATACAGTAAAACCTTGGATTGCGAGCATAATTCGTTCCAGAAACGTGTTTGTAATCCAAAGCACTCTCGTATATCAAAGCGGATTTCCCCATAGGAAAGAATGGAAACTCAGATGATTCGTTCCACAACCCAAAAATATTCATGTAAAAATGTTTAATACAAAATACCTTTTTCTATTTTTATTATTTAAATTGAATATAAAGTAATCAAATTTATTAATTAAATTTAATCATGGCTGGTGTGAGGGAGACGAGAGAGAGGAGAGGAGGAGGGTTATTGTGTACAGTTACTAGAGAACAGTCACTACACTTGGACACAAAATAAAAAAAAAATACTTTACGCACACACACGTGGTCACAACACTATAGTAAACAGTATACACGTGGTCACAACACTATAGTAAACAGTATACACGTGGTCACAACACTATAGTACTGTAGTAAACAGTACACACGTGGTCACAACACTATAGTACTATAGTAAACAGTATACACGTGGTCACAACACTATAGTACTATAGTAAACAGTATACACGTGGTCACAACACTATAGTACTGTAGTAAACAGTATACACGTGGTCACAACACTATAGTACTATAGTAAACAGTACACACGTGGTCACAACACTATAGTACTGTAGTAAACAGTACACACGTGGTCACAACACTATAGTACTATAGTAAACAGTATACACGTGGTCACAACACTGTACTACTGTAGTAAACAGTATACACGTGGTCACAACACTATACTGTAGTAAACAGTACACACGTGGTCACAACACTATAGTACTATAGTAAACAGTATACACGTGGTCACAACACTATAGTACTGTAGTAAACAGTATACACGTGGTCACAACACTATAGTACTGTAGTAAACAGTATACACGTGGTCACAACACTATAGTAAACAGTATACACGTGGTCACAACACTATAGTACTGTAGTAAACAGTATACACGTAGTGACAACACTATAGTACTGTAGTAAATAGTATACACGTAGTCACAACACTACTGTAGTAAACAGTACACACGTGGTCACAACACTGTAGTACTGTAGTTAATAGTATACACGTGGTCACAACACTATAGTACTGTAGTAAACAGTACACACGTGGTCACAACACTATAGTACTGTAGTAAGCAGTATACAGTGGTCACAGCACTATAGTACTGTAGTAAACAGTATACACGTGGTTACAACACTATAGTACTGTAGTAAACAGTATACACGTGGTCACAACACTATAGTACTGTAGTAAACAGTATACAGTGGTCACAACACTATAGTACTGTAGTAAACAGTATACGCGTGGTCATAACACTATAGTACTGTAGTAAACAGTATACACGTGGTCACAACACTATACTGTAGTAAACAGTACACACGTAGTCACAACACTATAGTACTGTAGTAAACAGTATACACGTAGTCACAACACTATAGTACTGTAGTAAACAGTACACACGTGGTCACAACACTATAGTACTATAGTAAACAGTATACACGTGGTCACAACACTGTAGTACTGTAGTAAACAGTATACACGTGGTCACAACACTATACTGTAGTAAACAGTACACACGTGGTCACAACACTATAGTACTATAGTAAACAGTATACACGTGGTCACAACACTATAGTACTGTAGTAAACAGTATACACGTGGTCACAACACTATAGTAAACAGTATACACGTGGTCACAACACTATAGTACTGTAGTAAACAGTATACACGTGGTCACAACACTATAGTACTGTAGTAAACAGTACACACGTGGTCACAACACTATAGTACTATAGTAAACAGTATACACGTGGTCACAACACTATAGTACTGTAGTAAACAGTATACACGTGGTCACAACACTATAGTAAACAGTATACACGTGGTCACAACACTATAGTACTGTAGTAAGCAGTATACAGTGGTCACAACACTATAGTACTGTAGTAAACAGTATACACGTGGTCACAACACTATAGTACTGTAGTAAACAGTATACACGTGGTCACAACACTATAGTACTGTAGTAAACAGTATACACGTGGTCACAACACTATAGTACTGTAGTAAACAGTATCACTTTGTCACAAGACTATAGTACTATAGCAAACAGTATACACGTGGTCACAACACTATAGTACTATAGTAAACAGTATACACGTGGTCACAACACTATACTGTAGTAAACAGTATACACGTGGTCACAACACTATAGTACTGTAGTAAACAGTATCACGTGGTCACAATACTATAGTAAACAGTATACACGTGGTCACAACACTATAGTACTATAGTAAACAGTATACACATGGTCACAACACTATAGTACTGTAGTAAACAGTATACACGTGGTCACAACACTATAGTACTGTAGTAAACAGTATACACGTGGTCACACCACTATAGTACTGTAGTAAACAGTATACACTTGGTCACAACACTATAGTACTATAGTAAACAGTATACACGTGGTCACACCACTATAGTACTGTAGTAAACAGTATACACGTGGTCACAACACTATACTGTAGTAAACAGTACACACGTGGTCACAACACTATAGTACTATAGTAAACAGTATACACGTGGTCACAACACTATAGTACTGTAGTAAACAGTATACACGTGGTCACAACACTATAGTAAACAGTATACACGTGGTCACAACACTATAGTACTGTAGTAAACAGTATACACGTGGTCACAACACTATAGTACTGTAGTAAACAGTACA